TGAACTGTTGGGGTATCTCACTCTCTCCTGATACATTCACCTGTCCCTTATCCTTATATCGCTGCATTTACCATCACAATTATTAACTGGCTCATTTTAACCTCGTCAAGGTGTGTCTTGTAGAGCGGGTTATTGAGGCCTATTCATACTCTCCTATCTTTCCCTTCCTCCTCATTCTACTGGAAATGTTGCTTTAATTTATTCCTTTTGGTTTGTGATCTACTTCATCCAGGTCCTCTTTCATTGCTTCTCCTGTCTCACTGAACAACCTTTTAAAGTCTGGATTCTCAAGCTTGACGAAAAAGTTAATTAGCGTTGCTCTTCCTCTTATCACCTTTCGGTATGTGTCCCGAGTAATTATCATTGTCGAGCCTTTACTTCACGAACTATGTCGATGGGCAAACTTGTGTTCTGTGAGCCAACCGGTTTCCCCCTCCGTCCATAATCTCATGTCTATGAGTTTCCTATTCCCTATTCTCTTGTGTGCCAACCCTCCAAATGTTTTACATATTATTTCCTTTGCTTAGGCCCACTGTAGGCATTCACTTTTGATTTTCGATTATCCCTTGGTGGCCTCTTCCTTGCAATTCTTCTTGTTCAAAATACTTTCTTTATTTAGTCGTATTCTATTTGCTGATCTTCTGAGTTTGTTTAAGTAATACCAAAGTTCTGCCTCCTTCCAGTCTCCTGTTTACTAGATTTTTTCGGCCAGGATATCTGTAGCCTCGCTAATCTTGCATTTTACCTGTGTTTTTATCGTATGCGACCAGTCGTCGGCAAGCTAGTAAAGAGATCCTTTTTGATCACCTGTATATTCTATTTTCTTAGTAATCTTCGCAATTTTTTTACTTAGTTCATAGGACGGCAGGTATATCCACTTTTGGTTTCTTCCTGATTTCTGGTTTAATTTTCGTAATAATTATAATATCATATTATCATAATATCAATCTGCTCCTTATCATATCTATATTCCTTGATGATTTCTCTGGGGTATCCGTTGCTAAGGGAAGTTCCAGTCAGTTTGTTCAATTTTTCGTGCCAGAACTCTGTGCTCGTTATTCTTATGCTCCTGATGATCAAACATTTATGTAGTAATGACCACTTAACATTAAGGATCATTTCCGCATGCGATTTCTCTTTACCTCATTTACTTATCCAATTCCTATCCGATTCTTTTTGTCAGATCTACCTTTAATCTTCTACAACTAATTTTCAAGCTACTCCATTTAATAAATTTTATTCCTTTACAGCATTCACATTACCCTCGTGCACTGCGTAATCCTATTACGCCCCCTTACTCCATTATGCCTTATCAATCGTTTTATTGTTCTTTATTTTTTATTCTTTCGTTTCTCATCCTATTTCACCTAAAAGGCTTTTTTAACTCCCCAGCTTACTCGTGCTCGAATTGGTACTGCAATTTTCTTTAATCGTGCTATACACAAACGTCTCTTTACAACTTCTCCCTATTTTTGGCAGGATACTCTGTGTTTTGTTAAACGAAGTATAATTTAATTCCTTTTTCATCAGCATTTTATTCCTGCAAACAACCTAAAAGTTGTAGCAACTGTGAGGAATAGAGTGCTTCTTTGTCTTAGTTTAAAGACCGCATTTTTCATCGTTAGGCCATTTAAGCGGATGCTGCAATAGCACGCCTGATGGCCTTCTTTCCTTATTCAGTGTCACAATAGAATTGCTCGACATTTTTATTCACTCTTTCTGAGGCTAGCCATCACCTCTTTTTTGACATCACCATTCTGTACATATACTCCATTTATTATGATTTGTACTCCTCTTCTAGGCTATTCCTTGGAGGGCGCGAGTCTTCAGTGGAGCTGGTGAACAACAAAGCCGTTACCTTGGCTTAGTTGTGCATACTGTCACTTCTGAATTGATTGCTGAGTTGAAGGCCTGCCGTCCGCAAAGCTTGGACCTCAACGGGTTAGCTGAAGGCGTGTTTATCTTCTCCGTTAATCCAGGTTCTCCGGCTGCAAAGTAAGTAACTGTATTTCCTTGGCCTTGATGCACCACCAAAACCTAAAGTGTTGGTTAAGTTGGCTAAATTCTTGGACTATTTTGTTGTATAGGCTGATGAGATTTAGTTTAGGTTGAAACTGCAGTCAACTCTGGATTGGAGTCCTCTTCGGAAGTATATGGTGGAATAAAATTTGCTGGCTAAATCATGCCGTTAATTGTCCTACGTTGACTCTGAGGGTTCTCTACATGACTCCTGTTGCCTTTCATCCCTATCTTCTTAGGCCAGAGCTGTATATTTGTCTTCAGCAAAATCAGACATTGATATTATACTGGCGGTCCCACGTACAATTTATCTCCAAGAGGATGTAGGAGTTTTCAAGCTTTGATGGGCTCATGATGAAGTTTTATAGTTATCAAGCGAACATTTTGTCTTGCTTTCAAGGAATCTTGAGCGGCACACCTCTAAATACATATCGCCCCCTCAAGATAACGTCCTACCATCTTCCTTTGGCACGTGATCACTAGGGGCTTGATACTAACAGTTTGTGAGACAATTTTTCTCCTAGCGGGATTTTCTTGTCCAAATTAAGGCGATCTAATTGTTTTCGAATTCTAACCTCGAAATCATACTTCGGGTATCTTTTTTGGCTGCTTGTTTTGCTGCCATTCCAAAGTGCTCGATGTATTGACGGCTAGTTTTTCTATCTGTAAAGTGGCGACTTAGATGCCCTAACATCATAAGTCCTTGCATAATGCATTTACTACGTAGACAGCATAGCCTTCGGTAGTCATCTGGCTATGGACATCAAGTGCATACTTTTGCTCTGCTTCTTGATCGGACAGGCCAGGCCTGTGTTTATTCCTTTGGGCCATTATGCCCATTGGAAAATCGTTGGGAATTTTGACCCATGCTCACATTAATACCAGATTTCAAATCTTTTGGTTCTATGCACATCCTTCAGAGTTCCGTATAACCAATCTAGACGACTCTTTAGCATAATCTACACTCGAAGAAAACTGTTATCCATCTTTTTGCACAACCCCTTTGCTTACCCCTATTTATGCAACCAATCCATGGAGTTGTGGCTGCTCTACCAACTTGATCCCCATGCGCTAGTCCAGCATCGTCGCTTCTTCCGAATAATTCATTCTTTTAGACCAGCAGATCCCTTCAGGCCTTCAGAGAACACTATTTATCCAGGCATATCTACAAACAAACATTCGAACTTATGGTAACAAGTTGCAAATTATTTTACGGAGAGGTTATAAAAGGCTTATTCGTCGCCAGGCCTGTCCCATCAACTACTCTAGCAATGAATAATAAGCTGTCTAAGTTGTGACGTAACTGTGTCTGGTATATATTTGCAATTGTAAAGCTTATAAATTTTTTATTTTTGAGTGTAAATCAGTTGAATTGGTTCATGTTTGAAGGCAGGTTCATAAGCTTCCTTATTAATCGAGTCTAAATTATCGCTTCATTATTTGTTTTTTAATGAACAAATTCG